ACCAAGACCTTCTACATCTTGAATCCTCATGGAAACCTTCCAGGAACAGAGAAGTTGTTTGATGATTGGTTTCAGAGGTATGTCTCTGCACACACATGTTCATATTCAGAGTTTTAAAATGCTACTTTTTGGACTACAGTCCAGAATTGCTTTAATTGTTTTTAATTTGCATTTGGTTTGTATTGTTGTATTGTGTGTTGAGGCCTTGGCCCTTGTAAGCCACATCGAGTCCTTCGGGAGATGCTAGCGGGGTACAAATAAAGTTTAATAATAATAAAAAAATAATTTTGCACATTTGATGGAAACATCTTGGATATCGCATACAAGACCTTGTTACTCCTATGGGTGGGCATTTGGGAATTTTCTTAAGCTGAACAAGTTGTCACTTCCTGACTCATATTTCCCCTTTCTCATTCCCTACCTGTCAGTGAGCCTGGATGGACTGGAGTGGTGGGAAAGAGTCCTGCTCCAGACCAAGTACCTTTGGCCCTTGAAGAACATGATCTCTACATGTGAGTATATTTTATGGAACTCTTGGTTAAGCTGATGAAGAAAGTAAAAGCAAATGCTTTTGCACAATGGATTAGGGAAGGTTAAAAGTAAAAACATCTCCAAAATGTATGAGAATGTGTATTCTCACAAAGGCCATTGCAGTTCCTAGATAACAAATTGGCAAAAGAAATAGGAGAGAATCCCAAATAACAGATCAGTGCTCTGCCTGAAGAATGCTGCCGTGTCCTTTCACTATTTTATTTTGAAGTTAAAGAATTCTAGAAAGTGGTTTTGTGGAAATAAGATTTCAAAACCAAATAACAACTTTGATTCATGGTAAAAAAAAAACAAACAGATGGAACTTCTTTTGTATGGCCAGTTATACCTTATGACAGCAAATCTTAATGGCATTGTAATACCCCTCATTTTATAAAAAGGAGGATTCAACCTAGAAAGCTCTGGATGTTCATTAGTGGTATCTATTGTGCGTCTACCCTGTTCAAATTTTGGAAGACTCAGAATGAGTGTTGTCCTTGTCCCCAGGCTTCAAATCAAGGGCTGAAATTCAAGGAAAGGGGGAAAATGTTAAGGGAGGCAGGTCATTTTTTTCACTGTAAGAATGGACAGAATTTAAAGAACATCTTAAATACAGGCTGGACCTAATTCACAATCAAGCTGCTCCTCTTGATGTGCTGGTTTTTGTTCTTGCCCTTTCTTCTAGCTATGCTGGGCATGGTGCTGGTGCACGTTTTGTAGACTCCATCCTTAAAATGGACTGCAGGTCTGTGGCTCTTCTCTTTGGATGTAGCAGTGCTGCCCTTGCGGTGCAAGGCAATCTGGAGGGAACTGGTGCTGTCCTCAGGTTCCTCATGGCAGGATGGTAAGTTGCTTTGCCTGTCAGTCTTACTCCCTTCTAAACTGGAATCCCCTATGAGACCTAGAAACTTCGGGCAGTGATTTCCAATATGACCTTCTATGCAAAGAGTGAAGTATACCTTGAAAAAAATCAAACTTACACAGAATGCCTTCCTCATCTTATGTATGCTAAGGGAGGGAGATCTCATATACCGTTCTCTGCCATTACGTATATGCGTAGAGCAGCGTTTCTCAACCTTTCTAATGCCACAACCTCTTAATACAGTTCAGAAATATATGTATCTGATTGTCTTTGGTTGATGATCAATCTGAAACCCCCTTGCAACCACCACCCCCAAGGGTCCCGACTCACAGGTTTAGTAACACTGGTGTAGGGGGATTGGGCATGATGTGGTTCTCCACTTTAGTCTGCACTCCAGTAGATTAATGCTGGAAAATCAGAAAGCATTCCTATTGTCTAGAATGCAAGTTATTTGTCCTTGAACACTGATGCTTCAAATGAGAAGATGGAAATCTCCACCTTTGCGAGTGTATTTGACTTTCTCTCTGGGAGTTTAATTGATTAGTGCTTTCTCTTCTGGCACAATTGGAATGATAATATGATATGATATTGAAAGGTCTATAAGGCTTAGGTACAGGCTATTTCAGGAGCCCCTGGTGGCACAGTGGGTTAAACTGCTGAGTTGCTAAACTTGTTGATCGAAAGGTCACAGGTTTGAATCTGGGGAGCGGTGTGAGCTTCTGCTGTCAGCCCCAGCTTCTGCCAACCTAGCAGTTCAAAAACATGGAAATGTGAGTAGATCAATAGGTACTGCTCCGGTGGGAAGGTAACAGTGCTCCATGCAGTCATGCTGGCCACATGACCTTGGAGGTGTCTACAGACAACACCAGCTCTTCAGCTTAGAGATGAGCACCAACCCCCAGAGTCATACACAACTGGACTTAATGTCAGGGGAAAACCTTTACCTTTACAGGCTATTTCAAGAACTCCTATCTGTTTATATGAGTCTGCCTGAGTCTTACAATATTCATCAGATGGTTTTCTCTCTGTCTGACCATGCATTAAGGTTTGTCTCAAGAACACACAAGAGAGAGTCTTCTCGGAAGCTGCTCATAGTCCTTGGGACTTTCTCCTGTGGGGATCTTGGTTGGTCTCTTCTCTGTCCTATTTCTGCCAAGAGGCAACATCTTTCCTAATGAAACAGGTCTTCAGTCTTTAACTGGTTGTGGTAGTCAGATATGCATAGATGTGCTGTTATGTCAAAATCTGATTTTTTAAATTGATAAATAGCATCTTGGATGGATTTGTTGTTTAATGCTATAACTTTCATACCACATAATTCTTTAGCTATTATGTTTTAGCTTGCATTGTAAGCCTCTTTGAGTCCCACTGTGGGAAAAAGGCAGAATATCAATAGAATAAACATGTCTTCCTTTTCCCCTGTCTTTTGTTTTCCAGTCCCCTAGTGCTGGGCAATCTCTGGGATGTGACTGACCGAGACATTGACCGCTTCATGCAGGCTCTTCTGAAGAACTGGCTGAAGGCAGGCTCTGGAGCTCCTCTGCTCCACTACATCATTCAGTCACGCCAGGCACCCAGACTCAAATACATGATTGGTGCTGCTCCCATAGCTTATGGACTCCCAGTTTTTCTACAGTAGCCTGATGGGAGACGTTTGGAAGGATTGGATGAACTTTTGGATGAACTTTTGGATGAACTTTTCTTGACTCTGAGTACTTTAATTGCAAATTGTTTTTGGAGACTAAGGATAAAAATGCTCCAGATGCAAACTATTTTGGTGTATAGTAGGAGTATATATTTTGTTGAAGGCCTATATTGTTTTTAGACAAAATGTTTCTACCTGGGCTGCTCTTTCAAGTATTTAATATTTGCACAATGTACACATTTTTAATTTCAGAGAGTATTATGAATGTTTCTTAAAAGCTATTTGAATTTTAATGTTTCAAAACCTAAATAAAGTTTAAAGCAAACAATCTCCCCTCCTCTGTGTGTTTGCACATGCACTATTATCATTGGCATTTGATTCTTGGGAAGTTATATCTAATCTTGGATGGCTGTCTTTCTAGTTCTAAATTTAAATCTCCGATTTTGTCCTGGCCAATCTACTTTTGCTAATATTTCCAGTCTTGCTATTAAAATCAAGCAAGGTAAGAAAAGAAAGGTTAATGTTTTATAATTATGTGTGTGTGTGATTGTAATTTCATAGTTTTATCATTTTTAGATTATGTATTATTTATATGCGGCACTTCGCTGTGCTTTGTTAGCTGCCCTGAGTCCTATTGGGGAGATGGTGGCAGGTAAAAATAAAATCTATTATTATTACAATTATTATTATTAAAAGAATAATGGATTAAAATGGCAATGAAAATAATAAATGATGTGATCTTGTGTNGTTTAGGGCTTTATAGGCCAGCGCCAGCACCTTGAATTGAGCTCGGTAGCAGATCGGCAGCCAATGGAGCTGACGCAACAGGGGGGTTGTGTGCTCCCTGCGCTCCGCTCCTGTTAGAATCATGGCTGCCGCACGTTGGACTAACTGAAGCTTCCGGGCCGTCTTCAAGGGCAACCCCACGTAGAGAGCGTTGCAGTAGTCTAGGCGGGATGTAACCAGAGCATGGACTACCATGGCCAAGTCAGACTTCCCAAGGTACGGGCGCAGCTGGCGCACAAGCTTTAGCTGTGCAAATGCTCCCCTGGTCACCGCCGATGAATCCAGGATCACACCCAAGCCTTTTACCTTTCCCCAGCATAATTGTCTTCTCTAGGCTTTGCTGTCTCCTCATGATGTGGCCAAAGTACTTCAACTTTGTCTCTAGTATTATTATTATTATTATTATTAACTTTATTTGTACCCCGCTAGCATCTCCCGAAGGACTCGATGCGGCTTACAAAGGCCAAGGCTTCAATACACAACATAACAATACAAAACCTAAAGCAAATTAAAAACAAATTAAAGCAATATTAAACAATAAACAATACACCAAAACACAATAAAAACTGGGCCGGACCAGAGTAATGGGTACAGAATTAAAAAGTGCTGATGTGACAGGTGGTATATAAGGATTATAGGGTAAGTGCAGTGTGCGGTGCAGTATCCTTCCCTCCAATGAGCAGTCGGGCTTTATTTCCTGGAGGATGGACTGGTTGGATCTTCTCGCAGTCCAAGGCACTCTCAGAACTTTCCTCCAACACCACAGCTCAAAAGCATCGATCTTCCTTCGCTCAGCCTTCCCTAAGGTCCAGCTCTCACATCCGTAGGTTACTACAGGGAATACCATGGCTTTAACTATGCGGATCTTCGTTGCCAGTGTGATGTCTCTACTCTTTACTATTTTATCGAGACTGGACATTGCTCTCCTCCCAAGAAGTAAGCGTCTTCTGATTTCCTGGCCACAATCTACATCTGCAGTAATATTTGCACCTAGAAATACAAAATCTGTCACGGCCTCCACAATTTCTCCCTCTATTTTCCAGTTGTCAATCATTCTTGTTGCCATAATCTTGGTTTTTTTTATGTTTAGCTGCAACCCAGCTTTTGCGCTTTCTTCTTTCACCTTGATTAGAAGGCTCCTTAGCTCCTCCTCGCTTTCGGCCATCAGAGTGGTGTCATCTGCATATCTGAGGTTGTTAATGTTTCTTCCAGTAATTTTCACCCCAGCTTTGCATTCCTCAAGCCCCGCACATCGTATGATGTGTTCTGCATACAAGTTAAAAAGGTTGGGTGAGAGGATGCAGCCTTGCCGTACGCCTTTCCCAATCTTGAACCAGTCTGTTGTTCCGTGGTCAGTTCTTACTGTTGCTACTTGGTCCTTGTACAGATTCCTCAGGAGAGAGGCAAGGTGGCTTGGGATGCCCATCCCACCAAGAACTTGCCACAATTTATTATGATCCACACAGTCAAAGGCATACATAGAGGCTTACATAGGGGCAATTATTCAATGCTTTAGAATACATACAATTCCCCAAAAAATTAGATTAGATTAAAATTAAAAACATATTAAAACATTTTAAAACTTTCCATTCCATATTGAAATCACGCCAACCATAATAATAATAATCCTCCTGGACTCATCACTTACGCTTGAAGCTCAGGCTTTGGCAGTGGTCAGGAGGGCCTTGGCACAATCAATAATAATAATAATAATAATAATAATAATAATAATAATAATAATACACTTTATTTCTAACCCGCTACCATCTCCCCAAAGGGGACTCGGTGCGGCTAACATGAGGCCAAGCCCAAAATAATACAACATAATAAACGCACAGTAACAAAATACATCATAACAAAATATGAAATAACAAAATCAACAATATAAAACAGCATATTAAAACCAGACACGGAGGGTGGGCCAAATGTGTGAGGTAAAATGTTAAAAAAGTTAAAACCCTGGGTGAGATAGGGATAAAAGTGCATTTGTAGGAAAGGGAGGAACCATGGGATTTAGCCATTTTAGGGGTGGGAAAATGCTTTATTCTGAGGGCAGCTGTAGACTAAGACAACCCGATGGGTTGAATGGTCATTCTCCAAAAGCACAACAGAAGAGCCAGGTTTTTAGGTCTTTCTTAAAACCAGCTAGGGTGGGGGCTTGCCTGATCTCCTTAGGCAGCGAATTCCAAAAGCGGGGGGCCACAGCGGAAAAGGCCCTCTCCCTTGTTCCCATAAGACGAGCCTGTGATAGAGGAAAGGGCGAGAGAAGGGCCTCTTCAGCGGATCGAAGAGATTGTGCAGATTTGTGGTAGGAGGATGCACTCACAAAGTTAGGTGGGTCCCAAACCGTTCAGGGTAATAACCTGCACCTTGAATTGGGACCGGAAAATGAACGGCAGCCAATGGAGCTCCTTAAACAGGAGGGTTGACCGCTCTCTGTACTTCGCCCCGGTTAGAAGTCTGTGCGCCAGCTGCGACCGTACCTTGTGAAGTCAGATCTGACCAGGGTGGTCCATGCCTTAGTCACCTCCAGATTGGATTACTGTAATGCACTCTACGTGGGGCTGCCCTTGAAACGTCCCGGAAATTTCAGTTGGTACAATGGGCGGCAGCCAGGTTACTAACTGGTGCGACTTACAGAGATTTTCTGTTGGTCATGTGGGTTCTGTGTGGGAAGTTTGGCCCAATTCTCTTGTTGGTGGGATTCAGAATGTTCTTTGATTTTAGGTGAACTATATATCCCAGTAATTACAACTCCTAAATGTTAAAGTGTATTCCCCCTAAACTCCACCAATATTCACATTTGGGCATATTGAGTATTCATGCCAGCTTTGGTCCAGATCCATCATTGTTTGAGTCCACAGTGCTCTCTGGATGTAGTTGAACTACAACTCCAAAACTC